CCAAATGAAAACTTAATCAGCGTTTTTCCCGAACCTAAAATCCCAAGAAAATCAAAATTTTAGAATAATTTAACATATAAAATGCCAGCGATCTTCATTTCATAGCCATCGCTGACGCCTTTTTTAGATAATATTGTATTATTTGTAAATATAATTTTCCAACATTGATACTTGCAAAATATACATATAAATTTTGTGAATGCAAATAATAATACATCACTATTAGTAGATATTAAATGTTTTTTGTTAAATTAGATCGATTTTCAAACCCCAAAATTTAAAATATATTTACATTTTACCCATTATCTTATGTACCTATACATTATTTGTACATTGTAAAACATTTGCTGCATTTGTATGGTTCATAGTTTATTTGCCAAAGTATTTATTACTATAAATAGGTATATATGTTGTAGTTATTAACTGTATATTATGTATATTTCATTTAAACTATATCATTTTTAAAATACAAACCCCAAAATCTGAGGAAATAATTATGTTTTCCATGTATTCTACAATATATTTATTAATCCGTTATATCTAACTAGCGTGACGTCATAAATCTCGCCCGTAGGCTGATCTTTTAATAGAAGGCACTGCATCGACAACTGAGACAGTTTTTGAAATTTGAATATACCGCGTGGAAATTGAAAATCGGACAATTTGGTGAAGGAATCTTATAAATAGTTAGTTTGTTGTGTGTTATAAGTTAGTAATTGTGTATAAAGTGAGAAAATAAATTCGTTAAGTATTTTATCGTGATTTTAAATTAGTGGACCCACGGAATCCGTAACAATTGGTGTCGGAAGTGCGATTCAAGAGGATTTGAAGCAGAAATTAAGTGGATTGGAAGATTTTTAGACCGAATTAGAGTATTTTTATGGTTGGTACAAGGGAACAAGCGAAGAAAATGGAGGAAGTAAGCAAATTATTGGGCGATTTTATGGAGAATATGAGAAGAGAGAAGGCAGAAGAACAAGAAAGACTCCGTAAAGAACGAGAGAAGAGCAGGCCCGACTAGAAGAAAGAGAAAAGATAAAAGATAAAGAAGAGGAAAATTTACAACGACAAAAAGAAAAACAAGAAGAACAGGACCGGCTTGAGAAGATTTTCGGAGATTTGAAATTCCAACAACAACAAGATAAACAGGAAGAACAGGACCGGCTTGAAAAAATATTGGGTAATTTGGAAATTCGTTTGGAGGAGCGACGTCAGAGAGAAAAGCAAGAAGAACAGGACCGGCTTCAGAAAATCTTAGAAAATCAGGAAATTCGACTTCAGAAAAGCTTCGGAGACATGGAAAAAAAAGCAACAAGCAATGTTGGAAATGCGTTGCCAGGAACAGCAGAATCACTTCCAAGAAGCCGTAGAAGATCTGGAGGAACGCCTTCAGCAAAAAATGGAAAAATTAGAGATGGACCTACAGAAGACCAAGGTACAAGTAAGGACACCTGGCGTTCATGGAACTGCGAACCTCAAGGCCCCGACCTACGATGGGCAAACCACCTGGACGATGTACCACCGCCAGTTTGAAGCAGCCGCCGCTGCCAACGGATGGACCGACCAGGAGAAAGCAGCGGCACTTGTCATCGCGCTGCGTGGCCCTGCCCTGGAACTGTTGCAAACTATTCCTGCAGCCCAACAGCAGGAATACCAAACTTTGGTCGCTGCACTGGACAGAAGATATGGCGACCAACATCGACGCCAACTTTACCAGGCCCAGATCAAGACACGCCTGCAGAGGTCCGGAGAGAGTCTGCAGGAATTTGAAGCAGACTTACGTCGGCTGGTACACCTGGCATATCCAGAAGCACCGGAAGGATTTAGGGAGGAACTCGCTGCTCAGTGCTTTATCAGCGGACTGAGGGACAACGAATTACAGAGGGCGCTGCAAATATCCCGATTTTCTACCAGCAGCGAAGCACTGGTCAGGGCGCTGGAAATCGAAGCTGCTTTTAGCGCCATCCCTAGACCGAAGATAAGATCAGTAACGGTCGAGAAACAGCCCGAAAGCACTCACAGAGGTTTGGAGGAGATGTGTAAGAAAGTCGACAAACTATGTGAGCTACTAATAAACAAGGGAGTCAACAACACCCAGACAGAGAACCATAGAAGATCACAGGACATAAGGTGCTATAGATGTGGCAGGAATGGCCACATCAAACGGGATTGTCGCATCCAAATGCGATTCCATTCACCATCCAGAGAACATCGGCACATCGGAAGATCCCAGGACATAAGTTGCTATAGATGTGGCAGGAATGGCCACATCAAACGGGATTGCCGCGTCCAAATGCGATTCCGTTTACCATCGAGAGAACATAGGCACCAGGAAATCAACACGAATGAGCGAGTATTGGCTGAAGAAAACAGAGCCCCTAGGATGTTTTCCGTTAGGAGTCTAGGAAAAACCGCTGACAGTTTGGTGATCAACGGGAAGGTCAATGGTAGAAGAATTCGAATGACTGTGGACACAGGCGCTATGGTATCGTTGGTGCGGACTAACTCTGTGCAAGGATTGAAGATGATGCCTCTTAGAAGAAGAGTGTATTTACGTACAGTTACGGGGGAAATGGCCGTTGTACGGGGAGAGGCTTTCATGGAATTGGAGTTAGGGAATTTGAAGTTTCGGCATAGCGTTTTAGTGGCAGACATTGAAGATGATTTTTATCATGGGTATGGATGTGATCAGTCAACATGGTTTTTCGTTTGATCACCATAGAAACATCCTGAAAATCGGAAATGAGGAATTTTCTGTATCTAAAGAGAAGAGACCAGGAAATACGGAAGAAAGATCATCGAAAATTGTGATGATACCTGGTGATACCAAGAAGACTATGTTCGGGAAACTAGAGAAAACCGCTGGGTGCCGTGTAGGACGGGTACAAATTATCGACAACGACCTAGATCGACGACGAGCTACCTTGGACAAGAAAATGCAACATCGCGAAAGCACTATCAGAGTAAAGAATTTTAAACTGAGAACTGACGAACAATGGACGACGTTACAATTGAGGAAAGATCAAATGGAAGATCCAGACATCGGAGCAATACTACGGCTCAAGGAAGGTAACGGCGAGAGACCACCGTCGCAGGATATTGCGGACAGAGGGCTGGTTTTCAAAGCTCTCTGGGCTCAGTGGAATTCACTGGTGATTGAGAATGGATTGTTAAAGCGCACGTGGGAAAGTGCGGATGGCAGGACCGTAACAACTCAGTTACTGGTACCAAGGAAGAAAGTCACCCAGGTATTGGAAGAAATTCATGGTGGTAAAACTGGAGCCCATCTTGGGGTAAACAAGACCCTGAGCAAGCTGAGAGACCGTTTTTACTGGGTGGATTATTGTGAAGATGTTAAGAAATGGTGTCGACGTTGTAAGATTTGCGCAGCTAGACAAGGACCAAGTACTCGATCTGGAGGAAAAATGGAACAAGATAACGTTGGACGGTCGTTCGAAAGAGTCGTTAGGAAGGAAAGGTTATCGGGAATTCATAAGGCCGTGAGAAGTAAGATTACGCTAGCCAGTGACCGGATGAAAGCTCGTTACGACCTCAGAGCTAATTCTACGGGATTTCAACAGGACGATATGGTATGGTTATATAACCCACAGCGCACGAAAGGGAGGTCCCCAAAGTTAACTCCAGCATGGGAAGGTCCTTATACAGTCATCAAGAGGATAAATGATGTTGTGTATCGGATTCAACGCAGCCCTAGAAGTAAGATGAAAGTAGTTCATCTGGATCGATTGAAGAGATATCAGACAGGAAACCTTGATCGGGACGATCAAATTTGAAAAGGGGGCAATGTCAAGAAAAATGGCCTATCCGCCAGAAATTAAAAATGTATTACTGGTGCCTGCACAACCGCAACGTATCCGCCAGAAATTAAAAGACTTTTCAGGCGCCATCTTTTAGTCAAGTCGAAGTAAGGGAATCAGACAATAGAATTGTCTGGTATGAAGAAGTACGCTTTCCGAGAATTGGGGAAATTTCGAGAAGCAGTCAATAGAGTATATAAGCCGGAGCCATCGACAACTGAGACAGTTTTTGAAATTTGAATATACCGCGTGGAAATTGAAAATCGGACAATTTGGTGAAGGAATCTTATAAATAGTTAGTTTGTTGTGTGTTATAAGTTAGTAATTGTGTATAAAGTGAGAAAATAAATTCGTTAAGTATTTTATCGTGATTTTAAATTAGTGGACCCACGGAATCCGTAACATTATTAATATTCCGTATGATCAAAAAAAAACAGCGCAAAGTTGGCTCGAAAATGATGGTGCTTTTTGAACAAAGCGTCACAATATGACATGGCCAGATCTATTGTTTTACATCACTTGACGTTTCAAGTCATAGGTTACTGGTTAAAATCAAGAAAAATATACGCTTTAAAACTAAATCTCAAATAACTCAAATATAGGAACTTAATACTCAGATATAGGAACATGTATAGTTAAAAAGTAACAAACTGAAAAGCCTTTTCACTAGTGCAATAAAAAAAAGTGAGTTTCCATTTGAAAAAAATGATTTATGATAATTTTTAATCGCTCAATTGTATGACAGCTGCGACCATTATTATATGACATTCGAACAATTTAATTTTTGATGTTTTCTCTTTATGGCAAAGTGGCTGTGGTAATCACTAAATTTGACGTTTAGACTATACACATATTTTCGACAGACATTTTTTTTCTCAAAAACGGTTAATGTTAGATATAGAGCGTTTAATATCAAAATTCATAAAATTTTACAGAGAATTCAAGTACATAATAAAAAATGGGAGTCCCCATTTAAAATAAGAAAGTTGTTGTCAACTTCCGGTATTTCCGGAAGTGCCGCCATATTAAAAATATTTTTAGTCGATAGATCTCGTTGTGAAACTATGATGTTCAAAAAATCTCCGAGCTAGATGCTGTAGTTCTTTAGAAACCTCTAATGGCACGCTCAGCCTGGGACACCCTGTATATATATATTAGCATTCCAACATTTTGTAATTTCAGGTGACAATCGGTATGTTGTGGCATACACTCTGAAGCCTGCAGCAGACTGTTCCCCATCTTACCAGTCGCAGGACAACATTACCGGTTCATCCGATTCAAAAAGACAACCGGACATCCTGAACACACCCAGAGGTGAGTGTTTGTGTCGGTGTCATCACGGTCAACATCATAACGCTCAATGTAGAACTCACAGTCAACATTTTTCCACATTTAAACACTTTGACAACGTATAGAAAACGATATTTTTTGAAAAGTTTATTAATATCGTAACCTATCACAGTATAGTCTCGTTATAGTAAACTTATAGCAGGATAACTCGCATATTTTCGAGTTACCCTGTCAACTCCTGCGCACATATCCTCTGGATATACCCACGGAACATTCAATAAATACAAGAATACCTGGAGATAGCTAGTAAACGTCACGGTTTTGCAAAAGTTGTTTTTTGTTGTTAAGTGTACAAAACAAGAAAACAAGTATATTGTTTAAACATTATTAGAACTTCATTGAACTTAATGAAGCGTATATGTATCATAAAGTAAGCAATAAACATTTTGATGAATTTAAAAGAGAGTCCTGTTTTCTATATTTTCTCCTATGGATATTATATTATATACTACTACAATACTATACCTATATTTATCAGCTTATAGGCTTGGTGCATTCTCCGCCGGTGCTGCCACCGCCGGAGAACTCGTAAATAACGAATACATACAAATACACCGGTTTAAATGGCGAGTAAACGAAAAAATTAGTATATAATTATTCTAAGTGTTAGAAAGTGTAATTTGTGGAATTTCTAAACAAAAAAATAAAAAGGTAAATATTTTGATATCTTCCGAAGAACTTGCATTATAATTTGTTATTCCAGTTAAAATTTTTTTTTTAGATGAGTTCACCTACGGTAGCGAGCATAGTTTTATCACCGGTTTTGCTAGTGGGGCATAATTGGAGCTATTTCGGCTATAACGAAATTTTTTAAAGGTACATAATTATAATTTTAAAAGATGTTCGTAAAACATTTAATCACTAGTTATTAAAAAAGTATACCATTAATATTGTAAATTATATTTCATCCTCTCATATTATAATCTATTTAATTTTTTGATTATGTAACGAGCACCTTGTTTACTCACTTGTTTCGTCGAACTGCTTGAAACCATTTTTGCTATTGATCAAATCGGTGTAAGAAATTATGAAGCTATAAAATGTTGTTTCGGGAGAGTTCAATATCCGGGAAAGTTGAGTTATTGAATGTTATTGCACTCAATTATTACCCAAAAATATACCTAGCCAAAAAAATATGTATATAAAAAATTGTAAATCTTTTTACTATAAGTGAAGGATTACGAAGATATTATTCATTACTTTAAAACGAATTATAATAAAATAATGGACACATCAATAAAATATTTAAATTACCCAGTATCAATAAAATATTTAAATTATTAATATTTAAATATTTAGAGAATGTTAAAGTTCGTATAACCGATTTTGTGTAGAAAAAGGAAGAAAACATGTTCCCTGTTGTTAAAACCCTCCACCCGAAGTGAAATTTTGTTGGCGACGGGCCGTCATTTTCGCCAGCCAGCGGTGCGCTGGCGGCCGACTATGAAAGAGCTTTTTTTCTCTCCCGGTATCGAAGCGCTCGCCGGAGAAATCTTCGGCTAGCGCTTCTTTTCGGCGGGCGGCTGGCGCTCGACTATGAATACGGCCGTTAGACTGTTGGAGGACACCCATTCCAAGTTACAAATGGAGTCTTCCAGAGTATTCAGTTCCGCTTTCAGTTGGTTCCCGTTTGGAAAACAGAACAGTTCTGGTCCAGTTAGTGGAGTGTTCGCACCTTTCCTAGCTAGATCATTTGCTTTTTCATTGCCTTCTATTCCTTGGTGAGCATGCACCCAGAGTAGGAAGACTTATTTCTCTCCTTTACGCGTTAACATTTTTTTTAGCAATTTTATTAACATTTGAAATTGTCAAACAGAACAAGCCTAGTTCGAATTCTTTTTCACTTATTTTTTACTACCCGAAACAGCGTTACATCACACAGACCTCGTACATGAGTGTTTTATAGTATCAATAACTGCACTAGCAAAAAACTAACATACTTAAATATTATGACAAAACCCCGATTTCAATATTATTTTAATGCGATCGACATGACGGCGCAGCGCGGCGCGGCGGCGCAGCATGGCGGCGTGAACGTATATATTGATATTTTCTGATTCCTACCGTAGAGTCTGAATTTGTTGAAATCAACTGAAATGCACCAAGCCTATAGTGGATATATTATTTTATTTTATTATTAAAATATAAGTACATACTTACTTTATTTGGTAAAAAGTTTACTACATCGAGACCCTACTAATATTAAGTAATTTTCTAGTCATATTTAAAGTCTAGCGACACTAAAAAATAATTTTATATTAATCAAAAAGAATAAACAATTATTAATACGTGTTATAGCGCTTATCTGTGAATAAAATATTCTTCCGTCCTTAAACACAAAATATTATTAAATAAAAAATAGAATATATATAATTATATCATATATCATACAATTATACTTTTTTATTATATGCACAAACATCTATACATGCACATATTATTGTCTATATAATATAATATATCGTTAATTTTCAAATGTATTGTTTCAAAGAAATACATCATTCATTTATTCATAAACAGATCCTTACTATACATATACCTACACAAACAGATATTATTTTTATCATTATTGTTGTTTCTGTTGTGACATTTTACTTTTGTACTTATTTGTAGAAATAAATATATTTTTTACGTATTGCGTTTTTATTTTTACTTTTCCTTTCCTTATTTTTTATTATATTATATTTGTCTATAATATTTATAAGAATCTCAAATCTAAATTTTCTCTGTTCTATATTATCATGAATACAAAATCAAAGGTTAAATATTTTTGTTGGTTAAAAATGTATAATAAAATTCAGTATATTATGTCCTTCGGGCTATGTATATAAGCTAGCTCTGTATATTTATTTATTTACTATGCATCATTTTCGAATAAATAAATATAGATGAATAAATGGTAGATATTTATGTATTTAAGTTTCCCATGTAGAGCCGAAAACATCAAAGAAAATAAGGTAACCATTTTTTTTTAATTTTGTCTTTTTTTTATTTAACATGGTCAACAGAAGCACATAAAACACATCACATACTGCATATTATACAAAAAAAATATGTCGCATCCTTTGAAAAGTTGTTCAAACATACATTTTGTATACTTTAAAACAATGATACATATTATTGTAAAAACATGTCAAATGTTTTAGATCATGTCCTAAGCAATATATTATTTTCCCCGCTAGTAACAAAACTTGAAATAGGTGAGGATCGGCAGAATTCCACCACGCCTCCAGAATTACCCAGACCCAACGATCTGTTCACTCAGTCGCCCAATCAAATTAGCATAGCTTCACCAACGGCGTTTCCAGACCTACAAGTGAGTACAACAGAGACAATCGTAGTATGTCTATTTATTTAGATAAAACAGACAGAGATACATATAATCATTATACATGTATGATCGAAAACCACTGAGAAACAAGCCAAAAATCGTAATTAGAGATGTCCATTTTAGAAGAAAATTAGATGTGTAACGTATTGATAGCATAAAATTAAATTAATAACAGCTTTAGATACTAAAATTTCTTAGGTGTTAATGGAATTAGCATAAGTTTACTTAAATAACATGAAATTGTAACCGCATTCAATTCATTCACTTTAAGAATCGTATCGTGGTCACGACATAAACTGTTACTACCTTTTAAAAATGGGCAATTTTTCAAGTTTTTTTTTTATTTTATTATAGACCAGCAGATTAAATCATATTTTGTTGTACTACTCTTTTTTATCGCAATGGTACTTGTGATGTGTGTCATCAGTGTTTCACAAGTACACTATCTTTAGAAACGACTTTAAGAATCGTATCGTGGTCACGACATAAACTGTTACTACCTTTTTTTTTTAATTTTATTATAGACCAGCAGATTAAATCATATTTTGTTGTACTACTTTTTTTTTATCGCAATGGTACTTGTGATGTGTGTCATCAGTGTTACACAAGTACACGGGACCTACAGTTTATCGCCGAATACGAACGGCACTATTTGAGAGGCTGTATAAGGCAAATATACTCAAGGTGGTTTTCTATTGTCTTGCTTGAGGTGGTGGCTCGCTGGTCGCTCCATTTAGATAAATTAATATTTTTATTTAAATAAATAAAGCGACCGTACTGGCTGAGGATCGAACCCAGTACTATCACATCTCTCGCACCGCAGATCGACACACTAACTGCTTGCGCTATAGCCGGCCAGAGATATAACATTACATATTCTCCTACTCGGTCGTTCAAGAGAAAAACACTTTGATATTCACGAACGCATTTGTGATCTTGCATATCCGATTCTCAATGGTATGCAAGATCGCAAATCCACTTCCTAGCAGCTTACAGTTAATGGCAAAATCTTTTGATAAATAATGGAATTCATCTTGCGACCTGGTATATTTTAAAGAAGTTAAATCACAAAGACTTAAGTCGAAATATTTATTTCGACTTAAGTCTGATTTTGCCTGCATATTTATGCAGGCAAAATCATCAAGAAATTTCTTTTTGTGTGTACAGCAGGTTATAACTCGCAACGATCCCCCGGGCTGCCACATATCCGATATTTCTCCGTGCTAGTCCATTACATAAGGTGCGTCCATACCTGACAAGATGAGAGCGAGACGAGCGCGAGGCATTCCAAGTTCGCTAAGTGTGGACGGGTCTCGCCAGAGCCTCGCGAGACAACCCACGGAGCCTCGTTGGTATACGTCCTCTGTCGGTTTTGCAACGGCCGATCAAAGAAAGCTAGCGGCACAGTCTTGGCGTGTTTTTGGTAGTCTCGTTCGACTGCGAGATATTAGCTCTGATTCATGAATTTCGACTATTTAAAATTAAGTAATCTCAAACTTTTTAAATGGTACACCGGTTTTTTTTTTAAATGGTTTGTATTATCATTTTTTCTGACAGAATTTACAAATTTTGCGTCACTGATAATTTTTTACCGTACCGAAATCCAACATTTCTATAAGCCTTTTTAAAGCTTTAAACAAATTGAATTATTACAAAATCTATTAATTTTTGATATATCATATGCAAAAAAAGTTATCAATTTGTATGTAGAATATAAAAATAAAATAAAAAATAAGGTATTCCCATTAATATATATATGTCATATTCGCAACACTTTTTTGAAGTATTTTTTGACCTATATATACTCTACAGTAGATTTAAAATGTGCCTCTTAACCAGGGCCGAATTTCCGCCTAGGCCTGCAAGGCCCGGGCCTAGGGGCCCAGTTAGCCTAGGGGCCCCAAGCAATGAGTGGCGCGCAACTTTTATATATAAGCTCAAAAGCCTGGCTTATCAAAGCGCTTTGTCGAAAGTATTAGCTTAAAGGTTAAAGTCATTAAACTCGATTAAAAATTATTTGTTCTGTACTAGTGTATTTAATTCGGTAAATTTCCAAATTGGCTACGACATGGGGGGGCCCATATGTCAAGTGCCTAGGGGCCCTGGATGTCTAAGTCCGGCACTGCTCTTAACCTTCCCTATAACTTTTCTATTTAACATTTTGTTCTAAAAAACGTATTTTATAAAAGACGTCGTGTCAACCAAAAGGAAAAAAACCGACGATGAATAAAACACGCCGAACCAAATACCATGTTAGAGATACAAAAATGTATTACTGTATGCGCTATTATTTAACCATCGTTTGTTATATCCAATTACAATTTAATATGTGTTGGTTCGTTTCACTATGATCCAACTCGCTTGTCTCGTGGCAGGCTTGCCTCAAAAAATGGATAGATGTCTCGCTCTCGTCTCGCTCTTGTCTCGTCAGGTCTGGACACAACCTTTACAAATATTAATGAAAGGTACAGACTGCGACGGAACAAATCTTTCAAAAATATCTTGCCTGTATAGGCGATTAATGGTAGAAATCTCAATATTTCAATTACACAAAACCTTTGATATTAATTTAAAAAAATACAAATATAAACAAAAATAAATATTAATTTATTAATTTTGCATCTATTTTTCAGTCCACCTCAAACTACGATATAAACAGCACGCTAGGAAGAACCAGGACAAGACCTAGAGACATGTCATACGGTTCCTTCGCCACCATGAGGAGAGAACAGCACATCATAACCGACACTATACCGGGTCCTGAGAGTTGTGTCTAAAAAAATAAATAAAACCATAGTTTAATGAATAATACTCGACCCTTTTATAGATTAACTACAGCCGTATTCTTGACAACCATTTCTGTGTCATTCTATCCTAAGAAAACTCGAGAAAAAAGTGTCCAATTTCAGTTTACAAATATTCTGACTACTAAAATTAGAACACAAAAATATCAAATATATGTAATCGCAAAATGGCTGGCAAGAATATTTTAGTGCTTTAGACTAACAAAAAAAATACTCTACTCTCAAGCACCAAACTCGCTATTTGCTGATGCGATTCGTCGATGTGATTCGTTCTGAAATCTTCCTGCGAAGTCCGTTTTGAATCAAAGGAAATATCACAAAGAGAATGGATGAATTTCCATTGACGAACACTATTAGCGAATAGTGAGTATGAGGCTTGATAGGAATCGGAGTTTTCTGTATATTTTATATAAAACGATCTAAAATATTGTGTTATTGTGATTACTGAGGTGATAAAAGGTTGAGGTTGTATAAAGGATGTGATGTAAGGCATGCTTCACATCAAATAAATAGTAATAAACAATAAAAAATTAATTTAAAACCCCACTGGGTTTAAAATCAATGGAGACAAATATCTTAGTGTTTCTTACTAATACATTGAAGTACATGATTGTATACTAAGGGCTGGCAAAGGTTAGTCTTGGGTCGAGATTTCCGTATGTAAGAAGAGTACAATACGTTTTATAATGTACCGAACAAAGAGAGAACAGTAAACACGTTGCCAAACGCATGAAATAAACCGAGAAACTGTGCACATACTGCTAAGAGACATAGAAGGGGATATAGATTTGTCGCAGTCGAGCGGCCGACCCTATCAGTACCTCTGTCAGTACTTAAAGTTCTAGGGAAAGGTGTACATCATGCGTTCAGCTTCACGATTTAATTACGTCTCATGATACTTTATTTGTTTATTTATTAACGAGTCGTTGTAATTTTCCCTATATCTTGAACATTTTTAAGTGCAAGTTAGAAACACTTGCATTTTTGGAATAATAAGTAGAATTGAATTGGTGTTCGACAGTGGTCGCGCTATTAGAACTCTGAATTCAAAAATCGATATCTCGAAATCTATTAGAAATAAATTGATTGTAGTTTTTTCCAAAACTTTCTTAATATTTCTGCTATATTTTGTTCGCAGACAATATGTAAACATCTTTATAAATAAAAAAGTTACACGATTGCTGAAAATTGCTATGCACTAAAACTAAATGGATGGGTTGTTCAAAATTTTTGAAGGGAAAAAACAACCTTATCGAATTTTTCTTTTTAAACATATTTTAAAAGATCAGATCTTCAAAAATAAAAAAAAATGTTTCAATATCTAAAGTGGTTCTTAAATTATGGCGTATTATGTGTTAAAAAAGTTAAGTTTTTAAATTATCGCGATTAGTGACGTTTTCTCGTTATAAAAAAATGGACACCTTAACGACATCGTTATAATTCGATTTCAGATGCGCAGAAACATATCTAATGATTTTATCTAGTTATCTTTTCGAAAAAAAGTTTAAAAATAAGCCGTTTGCGATCGTGATTTTACTTTACTTGATAGGGAAAGGCGTACCGGCAACGCCGCAACAGCACACCGTCGCATTTCTCTCACTCCGACTTAATAAGATCCCTATGCGATTTACTTCTACACATGTAAATACCGACCCAAAAGTAACAGTTGCCAGCATGGTATAGTAACGAGGGACCTGTTAATTTCTCACTAACTTGTTGATTCTTTTTATTATTATCAATATAATCGTGGAATTCCAAGAATTTATATATTCTACTACTTTCTTTGTTAGACTATTGAAATTATTGTGTGCAGCCATATACAACGAAATACATCAACATAGTTCCTATGTAGTACGAGAAAATAAAAGTGATTAAATAATTCTATAAACTATATCTAGAGACATTTCTGATCGTCAATTTATACTGGGTGCGTCTCAAAAGTGACTCAACCCTATAACTTCTTTATTTTTTCAGATAAAAAAAACGAGATTTGGTATGTTAGTATATAAAATAAATTAGGATTGATTGACGTATTTAATTGTATTCGGTCACTTCCTGTTTCACCGGAAATGACTACAACTTTTGATTTTTAAATAACACCCTCGGTATTTTTTACTTTATTCGAGTACAAGGGATCATGCATATCCTAAGTTTTGACCAATTCAAAACTCATAATTTAAGCCCTGTTCTCAACAGATATTTTATAAACGATTTGTGAATCTCTTCATTTAATTTATGTCATTCTATTCAGAGTGTTATTTTCTATCGAATAAAGTAAAAAAATACCTAGGGTGCCATTTAAAAATCAAAAATTGTAGTTATTTCCAGTGAAACAGGAAGTGACCGAAAATAATTGAATACGTCAATCAATCCTAATTTATGTCATATACTAACATACCTAATCTCATTCTTTTAACTGAAAAAATAAAAAAGTTATAGGGGTGAGCCACTTTTCAGACGCACCTGGTATAACCATTATTAAAGACTCATTATGTCTTGTCTATGATTTAAAACTGACACTCGGAATTTTTTGGTTGTAAACATTCATATTTCTTTGATGTGAGGCCAGCTGAACAATGTTATTGTTAGTAACTGTACATTATATGAATAAAATATATTTATAGGTAGAAACTCTTCAGATTTAACTCGAAAAATAGATAAACCAAAACAGTTATTAACTTTTCTACGAACTGTAGGAAACTTATTATTAGAAAGTAATGCCTCCAAAAGCCTATTGCTATGGTGTGAATTGAAAAATATTTTATATACATAACAAGAAGTTACATAAATAATATAATCTATAATTGCAACCTTTGAATTTTTAAAGTTGTATTTTTTGTGGTAGAGATTAATATTGCATTACTAAATTTGTTTCATCTTATTTAGCTATGTAATTATTGTTATAAAAAACAACTATACATATTTAATAGATATTATCCTTATTATGTAGTATACAAGGTGGCGCACCCATTCGCCTCGGTTGATTATACGAAAACGGAAAGATGTAGAAACAAATTTTTATGGGTATATGTAGAAAGGCAATGTGCATAATTTAAAATTATTTTGAAATGTACAGAGTGTGTCAGAACTAAGATCCATACCAAAGTTATATTTTTTCTTATGGAACACCCGGTATTTTATTTCATTTTTGGATTCTCGGGCATAAAATAAGGCATTTATTATAAGGGTTTAATATGCTTAAATGCTATAGCTTTTGAGATATTTAAAGATATTTAAATATGCATGCTATAATGAAAAAAAGTTTGTCAACACCCTGTACATTACATTTCAGAGTTAACACATGTGCTGACTTTGAAGCCTAAACTTTACTAAAAAAAAATATTGCTTTTATTATATTTATTATTCTATTTAAAAATTTATTTTACATAAAAATTTCGTTATTTCAAATACAACACTGTATTTTTTAAAATCGAAGCAGATTCAAATGCTCTTTCAAACTATATTAGGGTTTCCTATACCTATCTGGCTCAGATTTTGAATAAAAAGTGATTTTTCAATAAAATGGCAATCAAGATAGTTGATGTCGCCAATGCAATTTTCTAGTGACAGTTAGTAGCTATTTTCAAAATCGACATTAGTTTATGGACTTACCTACGAATAGTTTAATAAGTAAGTATTTATTATTTTATCAACAAAAATAAAGAAGTACTTCCTTGGTTTATATTACGATGACTTGTAGGTAGGGAACCTTGTGGACTTTCTATAAAAGAACCAATTAAGGCAAATTCATTTTCTTCACTTCCAACCTCCAACGACAGGTTCCTGCCTAATACCGTTTTTATACATCTCCCTATCAGCTCTGCCAAAATAGGAAAAGTAGTTTTTCAAAGGAACGCTTGTCAAGAAAATGCATATTTGGATATCTTTGAGCATAAACATTTCAGGCCAACAAGCAATAATTGTCCTCACGAAATAAAATCACTAGTAACATATCCATTCCTATCCACCAGCAGATCCTGCTTCATTTTTCTTAATAAAATAATAAATACTTACTTATTAACCTTACTGTAGGTAAATTTGATTAACCTGTTATAAATTTAAATAAAGTCCATAAATTAATGTCGATTTTGAAAATAGATACTAACTGGCACTAGATAATAATTGCCATGGCGACACCAGCCATCTTGATTACAATTTTATTGAAAAATCGCTTTTTATTCAAAATCTGAGCCAGATAAGTATAGGAAACGCTAATATAGTTTGAAAGAGCATTTAAATCTGCTTCGACTTATTTAAAAAAATACATAGTGTTGCATTTGAAATAACAAAGTTTTCATGTAAAATATATATTTAAAATACACCAGCAATTTTTGATACCCCTGTATACATTTAAGGAAGCAATCAAAATTATTTTTAAGTAAAGTTTATTTCTCTGGCTTGAAAGTCAGCACAAGAATTAATTCTCAAAAGTAATGTACAAGGTGTTGGCAAACTTTTTTATTATAGCATGCATATTTAAATATCTTTAAATATCTCAAAAACAAAAGCTTTTAAACATACCTTTTAAACCCTTATAAAAAATGCCTTATTTTATGTCCAAGAATCCAAAAATGAAATAAATACCGGGTGTTCCATAAGAAAAAATACAACTTTGGTATGGGTCTTAGTTCTGAGACACCCTGTACATTTCAAAATAATTTTAAATTATGCACATTGCTTTCCCACATATACCCATAAAATATTTTGTTCTTATCTTATCTTTCCGAGGCGAAATCAACCGACGCGAATGTGGTGCGCCACCCTGTATAAGATGTAACTTCTTCTTTAATATCATAAAAAATATGATGAAACCTAGTAGATAGAAATGCAATTTACTATAAAAAGGAATTTTAATTTGGTGAGAATGTTTTGTAAAGACTGACTCTTAGTAAAAAATAAAAATCCCATAAAATGTGAATAAACACATCTTCCAATAAGAAAAATACAATTTTTTGTTAAACAAGTTAGTAGTCTGAAAAAAATCTTTCAGCTTTTGTAAAATTGCGAAAATATACCATTTCTGAAATGTATAAAGTAAGGCCTACGATAAATAATTTATACAATAAAACATTACTTAAAAGTAAGATTTAATTTTGTTGATAATAATATATTATATAATTATATCAAAAAAATAATGATATAATTACTAATTTTGAGAAAAAAATCGGGTTGTTTTGATTTAAAAGAAAAAAATGACAAAAAAACAGACGTTGTATAAAAATCGACAAAATGTAATATATAGTGTTTAATGGATAAATGTATCATAATAAAAAATAAATTAATTTATATGATTGTTATAGAGTGTTTTTCTTTAAATTTCCACATCCAAAAAGAAAAATGCACGTACGCAAATTTTTCACTTACGCCCTCTATTCATTAGAGATCAAAACATGGCAGCGTGTTGGGGCAATACCACAAAAGGATAAAGGATCCTTACCATCTTATTACCTCTACACTCCATACATCTTATGAAAACCTAAAAACCAATACCACTTTAAATATTCTCGGTGGTATTGGGATAACAATAAAAACCTTTACCATCAAAACTTCTTTCCAGAGTTAAATCAGCTGGCCTAGGTCACTCGATTAAGTCGATAAGCATTTAAAACTCGGCAAAAAGTAAACAAAGAATAAGCAAACGAATAAGTAATTTATAAAATAGCTTATCGAGAATTATCGTCATTATTCTTGGTGTATCACTCAAATAAGCAACATCACGATGTTGGTGTTTGGGTTCCTTTTTTCAGCTCTATTTTTTGCTGGTAAGTAAATTAGTCAAATAGTGTTTCTCAAAATTGAGTTTTGTTAAAATTTCTGGATTTTTAAAATGGTATTTTTCATTTTAACTTAAAAATCACAAAGAATCAAATAACTGTTTGTTGAAAGAGATAAATAACTGAGAAATTGACATGCTATTGATTTCAACAACAAATATAACAAAGATTATGGATTGATTTTTGAACTAAATATATAACAGCACAAACACATATTAAGAAATCCCTATTTTTATCAAATAAATATAATACATGAAATGTCGTCAGCAGGTTTAAACCCTCTAAATGTATGTCGAAACGTCGGCAATTTTTAAAATAAAGAGTATTTATTTCCTGGTTCTAAACCTGCCAACGCCACTTCATAAATAACATAAAGAATCTACCACATTATAAATATATTATAATACCTCAGATTATCCAATTTTATATCTAATTACTAACAAAATTATGTACTAAAAAATAATTTCAGCTAATGCAGTAGATGCACCTGTATGGAGTGATGTGTATTCTGTAAAAGGAATGTTATTCATTCCTTATGCTGAAATTGAAGAGCCCTTTTCTGCATGGTAAGATCTTATAACGTTTTCTATTTGAGTGGTAATATCCAGTAGGTATAATTTTTTTTCTGGTTAAGTTTTTTCCTAAAATTGTAATGTTTAAAACTTTATATTTTAAAACTATTCTTATTCTGTTGTATTTAACAATTTATACAAGATATGAGTATATCCAATATTAATTTAAACGATTTTTTAGACTAAAAATTACTTGGCATTTTTTACATTTAAAAATTTTATTTTAACTCATTCCAGAGCAATTTTATGACAAAAATTTGGCGCCGGGAGGCACGTATAGCCGCCCATACTAAAATATGTTAATAAAAAGTTGGTAGGCAGTTCTTTTAGTTTCAAAGTAAAGGAATTTTTCCAATTTTTTTTTATCTCAAAAACTGCGACTTTGACTGATTTTGATGTTATTACAAATTTTGTTGCAAATATTATTCCTAATCTTAAATTGAAAACCGCGTTTCGCTAGCTACTGTAATTTTGGAGTTACGATTTTTTACAATTTTTAACCCTCTCCCATACCCCCTTACCAACCCCCCACCACCACCAAAAACTAATTGGCAGATTCTCGGGTGCCACAGTATTTTTGTGCCAAATTTGGTTAAAATCGGTTTAGCGGTTTTTGAGTTATCGTGTTACAGAGAGACCGACATACAGACAGACACCATGAAAATATTTTGTATGTAGGTCATTTATGACCCAAATAACTCATTTTGAGTGAAATTAAAAAAACTTTTTTTGCCGATCTTAATAGCCTACCATACCTGTTGGTATGGTCGGCTAAAAATTAACAAATTGATGATTTTTAATTTATATAATTTATTAGATGCTGAAAGTGTTTGTACAACACATTTAATTATAAAAACTGCTGCCTAATCTCCTTAAGTTTGTATATTAAGTTGCTTAATAAATATTTATAAAAACACTTAATTTTTTCCCTTACTGTTCATAAACCGAGGTAAATTAACTGGTCTTATAAAATTAATAATTGAGGTATATTTGTTTAACTTTTCAAATTTAGCAAACTTATTGCTAAACTGTTTACTTTCAATTAAATGTCGTTCATCGTAATTGATAATATCCATAGTTTGTTTACATATTCTTATATCTTTAAATCTAAGTATTCCACTTAGAGTAAAAATAATGCCAGTACTTTATGCTTTATCATTCAATTTTAAAAACAAATATTTGTCCTTTTACAAATCAAAATTATCAAAATAAAATTATTGATATTCGTTTATACTAAATTTGTTAATATTTTTATTTATATTCGATTATACTAAATTTGTTTATCCATATAGAGACAAATCTCATTTTTTAAAAAAATACTAGGTATGATGGCCCAAACAAACAATCAAGAATCGACTACTATGGTGATATGGTGAAAACCTATCAACTGGGCAACAGTGGATATGGTACTAGCCTTAAAATAGCCCCTGTTACTACTGAAGAAGTTGAAAATTCTGTAACATGCCTTCAAGTGAATGGAACCAGTGATGATCAAATTTCTCCACAAACTGTTCTGCCAGATATTACAGGATTTGAATATGCTGGTACAAAATGCAATATTATAATAAAAAAAATCGATAAACATTGAATGGTTATTTATACAATTTTTATTTTATTTTTTCTTCTTGAAAAACGTAGGTGAAGAAGTTATTGAAGGTGTCGCAACTCAAAAATGGAACTTAACAAATATTATTGGTGAAAAAAGAAATATATACACACTTTGGGTCAGGGAAAAGGACTTAGATGGAACTAAAGTATCTGTACCTGTCAGGTGAGAATTTGAACAAATTATATTTTACTTAAAGCAAAAACTTGGTTGACACTGTATATATAATATGTTATTTATTTACAGATTTGATATGAGAGGATACAATGTAATTTTAGGAAGTCACTTTGATCACTACTACCTATATTATAACGAATATGATATCAGTCCTATTGCTGAGGAAACATTCAAAATTTCAGACAGTAAGTCCCCTAAAACTTTAAATCGTTGGAGGGTGTATACCCTCGTAGGAGGTAGATCTCCACTCCTAGGAGGATGAGCATCTGTTGTCAGAGGAGGATTGCAAATACCCTATCCCCCTACAACAGGACGATCCTCATGTATGGGGAGTTATTAGACAGTATGACGAGTTATAACTCAAGAAAGGGGGACACAATAGATCTTTAAGGTCGCCGATTAACCCCCCTTCCACTCATTCTACATTCTAAACTTTAAATATTCTTCTCTAAATTAACTTTAATGCCAAAATGGTAATATGTTTCAGATTTAACTTGCAGTGCATTCCCTGGTCCTGGTAACAAACACATCTACACTTTCAACCCCATGGCCGAGTTTATCAAACCAGAAGAACAAGGACATCTCGATTTTGAGTTTGACAAATTCACACGGAAACATGGCAAAACTTACAATGGAACCCTTGAATCTACTCTGCGTAAAGAAATATTCAAACAAAACATCAGATTTATACATTCTCACAACAGGAAAAATGTGGGATATTCTTTAGCTGTTAACCACCTTGCTGACAAGACTGACAATGAACTTAAAGCTTACAGAGGCAAGTTGTATTCTGGCGAATACAATGGAGGTCAGCCTTTCCCTTATAAGGACAGTGATTATGCTGATCTTCCTGATCAATGGGATTGGAGGTTATATGGAGCAGTAACACCTGTGAAAGGTGATAACTAGTTATATTGTTAAAAAAAATTAATATTCTATATATTTTTAGATCAATCTGTATGCGGCTCTTGCTGGTCATTTGGTACTGTAGGTGCAATTGAAGGGGCTTATTTCTTGAAAAATGGTGGAAAACTAGTCCGTCTATCCCAGCAAGCTTTAATAGACTGCACTTGGGGGTAACTTTTTAATCTAAATATAGCAGTGTACCCAAAAAAGCTCCACAGTTGGTTTTCTATTTGAGGTTTTAAAAAGAAAACCTGATAGGAACTCTTTTTGATCACCCGATCACCCTATATAAAATATCATATTTTGACCTACCTAAATAATTTTACAGATATGGTAATAATGGATGTGATGGTGGAGAAGACTTCAGAGTTTATCAGTGGATGTTGAAACATGGAGGAATACCTACTGAAGAGGACTATGGGCCATATTTAGGCCAAGTAATTAAATGGATATTGTTTAGTAAAAAGAGTAAAACACATAAATTTTAATATTATAGGATGGTTACTGTCATGCCGAGAAAGTAGATAAAGTAGCCAAGATTAGTGCATGGGTCAATGTAACTCAAAATGATGAGAATGCTCTTAGACTGGCCTTATTTAAAAATGGTCCTGTAAGTGTTTCTATAGATGCCAGTAAAAAAACCTTCAGTTTCTACTCAAATGGTGTCTATTATGATGAAAATTGGTATTATTTATAAGTATAATTATTTTTCACAATTATATCAAAATATCTTTTAGTGGGAATACTGAAAAAGATCTGGATCATGCAGTATTAGCAGTTGGTTATGGTACAATTGGAGGCAAGAATTATTGGCTAGTTAAAAATAGCTGGTCGAATTATTGGGGTAATGATGGATATGTTTTAATGTCCTCTGAGAAGAACAACTGTGGCGTCATGACAACACCCACGTATGTTATAATGGCATAGAGTACTAAACTTAACTTTTATTATTTTTTTAAATAATTAAACAATATCAGTTTATATATTTCTAGTAAAAACTTTAAAGAGAAATAAACAATTTATGTTATTACCTACTATCTTATTATTGACTAGATTGTTTTCCCAAATCGTCTTCTCTTGGAGCTTTAGCAGCTTGCATTAACTCATATAATTGTACAACCTGTTCATCTTTAAAATTGTTTATGATATCTTGAGATAGCTCGGAGCCTATAGTCTTATTATTCTTAATACCAAGTTGTTTAGCCAGAGATATTGCATAATCCTAAAGATTATCTATTAAAATAATAATTCTGATACAGTTTACAATTCTTACAGTCCATTCGTTCATAAAAATAGCTGCTTCATTGGGTGCACAACTTTTATGCCTTTTAAATTCATCACGGGCATAATTCGTTCCAATTACTTGTAATTCATCGGGTAAACTTCGATGTAATCTTAATATTAACTTATATAAAATTCTGACTTTTTGAACATTGGTGTAAGATGCCATAATTTTAAAAATATATTTATAAGAAAATCATTTTTTCTTTTAAAAAAGTAAGGCTAGACTGGAACTTTTCGAATTTTCACTGTCACTTTTTTTAACTGATTTAAAGACCTAAGTTACGAGGACTATCCGGCCTGTCCTTTTTTTTAATTGATGTAAAGGCCTACGCTACTAGGATTATCCGGCCTCTTAATGTGATAATAGGTTACTATTTTTGGTTGAATTTTAATCAATACCGAAAATAGGATCCGTCTTAAGCAGGTCTGAATATTATCCTGTTTGATTTGGTTTGAAGACCATTTTAAACTTTCTCTTGTACTCTTGTATACCAGCGATATTCTTCTTCTCCTTAAATACTATGGCCCCGCGTTTTTGAACGTCTGGCCAGCCAGTAAACTGGGGGCCCCAATTTTAGAAAGAGAAGAAGTGATCTTAACCCAATTCAGAACGTCAATTGTTTGGTAATAAAATTCACAAACAGAACTATTTTCCTTTTCCTATTTTTATAATAATTGAGAATTTCAGGCAACAGACGTCAGTATTAACTTTATTTTTGAGTTACAAGTAGAGAAAGGACATGGCTGAATGTAAAATAAGTTACTCTAATAATGATCAGTTAGATTGGAATCAAAAGAAACGCGAGATGATGTTGAATTTAGGTCTAACATCTAAAAACTCTGGGAATGGTAATATTCTAGAACATCGTGGGCAATATCATATTTTTCGTAATTTTTGTTAGATGAAACGCCAACGCCTACAAGACTGATTAGAAATTGTGAAGAAGTGGGACTATTTCAAGACCTACAAAATGTAAACCCATTTGATGAAGTTTTCAAAAAGGCTATAGAAAATCCTTCCATTAATTTACAAGTACCTACTAATTCATCAGATGACACGTTACATACACCACAAATTTATCCAAACTTAGAGGAAAGCTCATCAGCTACTAATAATAGTAATAAAACAAAAACAAATTCTGTAAAAAATATTCAAGGTTCAATTACACCTATACCTATAAGCAGACTAAAAGAACCTGATAAACGTAACAATAAACGAGATTTAGAACATATAGCTTTTAAAAGAGAAGCAAATAAAGCAGCACAGTTTAGATCTCGGAAGAAAAAGAAAAAAGAATTTGAGGAAATGAGAATTGAGGTTTTACAGTTGAGGAAGGAAAATAAACAACTAATTCAAATTAATCAAAATTTACAAGAGATAATTAATTCATTAAAATCAAAACATAAAGGTATCCATATTTACTCCTTACATTGCACTTTTTTTTAATCTTCTGAATATTTCAGATAAGCCTAACATAGAAGTTACTGATAAAAATTTAACATTTGAAAGTATAGATGCACCTAGTAAAGTAGGATATAAGAAACAGCTGAAATGTAATAAATCTAGTTCTAAGAGTAATACCCATCACATCCAAATAAAATGCCCCAAAGTGGCGCCAACGCCACCTTTAATAGTGCCATTAAATAGCTCTGCTACCACACTACCAATACAGACTATTCAGAATACACCAAATGGTACTGTTATATTTATTGTTAATGGAGGGAATAGCAATAATCCTAATGGCATGCCACCAGTAATATCTAAGACAAAAATTTTACCTGCAAACAAGAAGCATGACAAATAATTCAAAAAGATAGTTTAAGAATACATATGAGGAAAAAGATAAATTCTTTAAGAGATTTTTTATGTCAAAACGACCACCTCAGTATTGTGATATTAAAAAATTAAATATTTGAATCTATATCAGTTATCCACAAATTTTTAATCCTGTGTAGACTAGAGCCTTACAAGCAAAATGCTTTTGTTATTTTATGTAACAAATAAAAATATTTGTTGAAAAAAGTTAGAAGCTTGTTCATTTTTATGAAAGCTTTTTTTCTACCTTTCAAACTGATTTTGACTGAAGCTGTCAAAATGTTTTTAAATTTATCAAAATTCTAAAAATGAATGAACTTGCTCAAAGGGCAATTGAAATTTTCTTGGCTATATTTGTAAATTATTGTTTACAGTTTCTGATTTATGTAATTTTTTACAAAAAGTCCGCCAATACGTCCTATTTCTTTGAGTAAAATTTGAAAATGAGTCGAACAACCAAAAGTGGCGAAACCGAGATTGAAAGCTTCGTGGAAGTTATTGCAAACACCCTGTTTTTTGCTGTTTTAAAGACGTCAAACTGTAACAGGAAGCTTAGAGGACATGGAGATTTATTTTATTTCACTGTAGATGAGGAATTATCATATCAAAATTATTACTACGATTTTGGACCTTTAAATATCTCTTGTTTGTACAAATACTGCACCAAGCTGAATAAATACCTTCAGTATGCCAAGGGTGTTAAAGGCATCGTGCATTATACTTGCAACCATCCAGATAAAAAAGCAAATGCAACCTTCCTTATAGGAGCTTACTGTGTTATTTATTTAAATATGCAACCTAAAAATATAATGAAGATGTTGCAAAATGTTGGACCGTTCAGGTAAAATATAATGAATTCACTAATGTAACGTGCGTTCTTGGAATTTTATTGATTATCTTAGTAAAATTTTATTAATTATTGGATATAAAGGAAAAAACCTATCCCAATTAAACTATTACAAATCGATATTACAGTTGTTCATTTTGAAAATATAAAATTTAGTTTAGATTTTCAATTTAGTCCTATTAACCATATATTTACAGGCCATTTCTTGATGCTTCTCAATACCCATGCCAGTTTACATTAAAATTACTGGACTGTCTGCAAGCCATCTCCAAAGCTATAGCTTTTAATTTTTTCAATTTTGAAGATTTTAATTCTTCTGAATACGATCTATACAATAAGCTAGAATTTGGTGATATAAATTGGTTAGTGCCTAGAAAATTTTTAGCTTTTATCGGTCCTACCGATAACAGAACTTCGCATCCACCGGAATTTTACATAAAGTATTTCATAAAGAATGATGTTAAAACCGTTATAAGGCTCAACAATGTCTTATACGATTCGTATGCGTAAGGAAACTGAATTTAGAAAATAGAAAAGATTTTTTATCCTAGTTTTACAGGTTTATGCAAGTCGGCATACAGCACTATAACTTGATATTTCCTGATGGATCTACACCACCAAAAGATATCCTTTTAAAGTTTTTGTATATTTCTGAAACTGCTCCAGCTGCTATAGCTGTTCATTGCAAGGTATTGTATCTACAGGGTGGTCCGAATTGTATTCCGAAAACTTCGGCAGCATATTCTGCAGATAAAAATAAATAAAAAAAAATCGTATAAATGTATATACTAAAACGCTTAGTTTCGGAGATACAGGGTGTAGAAGTTTCATTATTTATTTCGATTTTTCCAAATAATTTCTAAAGTAACGTCAATATTGGGATGAAAATTGGTGCCAGGGAGTTTTCAAAGAAAAAATTACGATTAATTTAAAAAAATAAATATTTCCCAAATTTATTATTTCAGTCAAATAACTCTCCACTCAACGTGTTTGTCAGTAATGACATGTTATTGGCTATTTTCATTCAACATATCTTGAGAACGAAGAACGATTGCTCATAGCGATTTTTACCAAGAGACATTACGTAAAAAGTGTCACGGAGAGGTATATTTTTTCACTCTGCTGTTTTATACAGGTACGGACGAAAAGTTATTACTCTTCAAAACAGTTAAAACCTTAGGTTAAAACACGTGTAGGTGGCGCCCCCTATAAATAGGAGTCAAATTGACATCAAAATCAAATTTCTCATGTCAAAAAACTCGCAGACACCAATTTTCATCCAAATATTGACGTTACTTTAGAAATTATTTGGAAAAAATCAAAATGAAAATGAAATTTCTACACCCTGTATCTCCGAAACTAAGCATTTTAGGACATACATTTATATGAATTTATTTACTTATTTTCATCTGCATAACATGTTGCCAAATTTTCCGGAATATAATTCGGACCACCCTGTGTATTTTGCTATAAAACAAATATATAGACCTAGTGCGCGATCCTAAATGAGTAGGGTTTCCATATGTCCGGATTTACCCGAACATGCCCGGATTTTTAGTGTCCGGGGCTGTTCGGTCCGTATTTGGTAAAGCGTCCGGGAAACCTGACCGCAAAAACAATTTAGCTTAGTAAAATATTTTACCCCCACTTACAGTTGATTTAATTTCTCAGTTACCTACTTTGTTGAATATTTTAACCTTATTTTAGTCTCTACCAATGACTAAAGAATATAAGGACATGTAAGTGCGGCGTTACACGGTCCGTTTTTGCAGGTCCCGCACTGCGGGTCCCATTTTGCGGTATGGCAATATCGCATGAGATGGCATGGCAGATGTAACACCATCCGTTTTTGCGGGATATGCGGCGACATGCTGCCGCAATGCAGGATTGCGGGATGCGGGAACCTTGGTGACGACACAGTCAGTTGAATGTAAACCGTAGCACGGTACGTTTCTGCGGTATGCCGCTTTGATCGCGAAAAGCAAAATATGTTTGATACTGACCAATTTATCGAGCTACCTGCCCCTTGGGACAAATCAAACCCTGAATATTCCAACAAAGATGCACGACAAAGGGCATGGGTGAATCCTCATTGTCGTGTTTTGTTTCGTGATGCTGGGTCTCAACATTTCAAGCAATACATCAAAAGATTTTTGAGACATCCGATAGTAACCAAAGAATTTATCATTGTACTTTCGAATTTTAGAATAAAATTTTCGAATCTTCGTCTTCTTTCGCGCTCGGAATTAAAAGGATGAACCCAGGTTTTACGGCATTTCGGCTCTCGTAATAAATTTTTAGCTTCAAGTAATAAAACAATGTTTAATTTTGAAAGGGACATAGTTCTTTCGCGTCTGCCACACAATATCAAAATGTGCGTAGTAGCTGCACGAACCCTTTTTTGCAGGATCGTATAATTGGAAGCCACGATCCGTTTCTGCGGCATCCTGCAAAACGGACCGTGTAACGCCGCACTAACGCCCCTATACGGGCTGCAGCAGAATTTGTGACTTTTTTTTTTGTTTTGGTGGCCAACAATGAGTCATCATTTGGTCACCAGCGACAATTTTAGCGATTTTTAATAGTTTGTGTGTAGTAAACTTTGTATAAACTTTATTACAATGGTGATTGTTGTTCAGCTTTCAAGTGTAAAAGCAGCAGCGATAAGAAAGGGCCAGGAGTTATGTTTCATAGGTAAATAAACAGTCCACTCCAACTTTTTAGCGTTTTCTTATTGAATTCGATAAGTATTCTTCAATTTCAATTAACATCTATATGTACTTGATATGTGCTATACGTCGATACTAGTTTTGTACCTTTTGTTAACATTTAATACGTTTTTTTCGTAATTAATTCGGATGATACACCATAGGCGTAGTCAAAACAATTATCAAAGAATATAAATATTGCTTCAAACAGCTAGGTTATGAAAAATATGTGCCACGGCACTGTTTGGTGACATCGTCACAATTTGCTCTCGGGTGTTATTTGTCCTTGGATTCTTTAGTCATTGGTCTCTACGATGATCGATGATACAGCTCTACTTGACCGACGCGTGTTCGAAAGTAGCCATTTATATACTTTGGCGCTCAAATTTTTCACTTTTGGTGCACCTTTGGAAAGTGAATGTTTTTTTGGTTTATATTTTATTTATTCCGGGGCTATTATTTGCAACCTATAAAAGTTCATAAATAAGTTTAGTTTCTTTTTTTGCGACGTCCGGTTTTTGTCCGGATTTCAGAATTCATTTATCCGAATTTCTGAGTTCACTTGTCCGGAATTTTCAAAAGCCTTTATGGAAACCCTACATATGAGGCGTACAACTTAGCGAAGGGTAGAGCGGAGAGGACCGCTAAGCGTTTAAAGGCATTGATTATAGGCATTACAGGCGAGTTGTATTGCGGATTGACGCGTATTTTACTATTGTCCGCTCCGCCCTACGCGCGCAGCTATATTGGGCCACTGCCTTAGTTTAGCTGGGTCAAAAATAGTGCTCTATTCTAGGCCGGATTAGGTAGAACAGGCTCTTTAATTGGAGCTTATTTAATCAAGCATTATCATATGAGTGCTAGAGAAGCTATAGCCTGGCTTCGTATATGTAGACCAGGGTCTGTAATAGGGCAACAGCAAATATGGCTGGAAAAAATTCAGAGCTGGTTATGGAGAATTGGTAGTCAATATAGGTGTGAAGAAAAAATAATTCAGATTGTTTAGGTAAAAATTATTTGCTTTTAGAATTGAACATTTTGGGGAGGGTGATAAGATTCCTAGACACAAATATGGTATATACAGCAAAATTTGGCCTACTGAAAGAGAAAAAATGATTAAAGAATCTAGAAGAACCTTCAGAACATGTTCGAGAACAGAACCAGAAAATTTACTCCAGGTAGACTCATCCTCAATATATTTTTTTACGATTTAAAATAAAATAGATCAACTGATATCACTGATTCTTTCTCATTTCTAAGATGCAAAAGAAGAGCAAAGCGTTGAGCGTAGATAAATTGCATACTGACTCAAAAATTTTACCCTCAGGCGACAGTTTTAAGAACATATCCAAATTATTATCTTCGGTACATACCTTTAAGAAATTCAGGAACGTCCACGATGGAGGATCTGATGTAAAAGTTAAAAAGTATTCAAAATCAGATAAATGTATCAACTGCACAAGTACAGACATTTCTCCAAAGAAAGCGGTAAAAAAGAAAAACAGCGATAAAGAACATAAAATGCAGAACAGTCATGCTCAAACCAAACAACTTAAACCCGTTCAAACAAGCCAAGGTGACAAATTAAATGATATTAAAGTTCAGAGAAGTAGAAAATGTAAACTACACAACGTTTAGAAAAAAGTGAAAGATATTTAATCAAGCTAATTATTTTTGTGAATGTTATTTAAGTCAATTTACCATTATATTTATTTGCATCAATCTCAGAAATAGTCAAACATTTTGAAAAACAATTCTTTGTTTTATTATATACATTCTTGTTTATTATTGATCACTATCTATATGTATATATATATATATGTCTCTCTTGAAGTGGGCAAGCACCAGAGATTTATAGAGATATAAATATAGATATGTCCATATCTCTGGCAAATACCCGATATATTGAAATTTCTGTAAATACCCGACGTTTTGCATGCGGTATATACCCAATGACGAAGACTCCACAATAGCCTTTATCGAAATTACAGCAACAGACAGTTTCATAAAAAATCGAAATTTGTGATTCGGTGAAATCGGTGATTCTCCGACGAAATATATTCTCAATGAGTATATACCAAACACATTTTGGGTATTATACCTGATATATACCCAAATTTCTTTGTTATACCCATTGAATATTTACCAGAGATATAGATATAATTATTCCTAGATTTTCTTTTCATATAATTATATACAGGGTGAGTTTCCTACGATGTTCTCTATGGGTATCTCTTTTGAAAAAGTTCATGGCTTACTAGATATTTCGAAAAAACAAATTTCGACTGTTTTAAAAATTGACCCTAATTCCATTATAAGCTATTTTAGACAAAAAAATTTCAGATAAAAGTTGTAGATAATCACATCCTTAAAGAGATCGTGTCCTCCGCTTTCTTCTAAAGCCTGTCATTTTTGACATATGATACAAACATAATGTTTTTTTAAATGGAAACCTTAGTTGGCCATGACTTCATAAAAGCCCTATTTTTAAGCTTTTTAGTGATATAAGCTATAATATCTTTTCTTCATAATCACATCCTTAAAGAGATCGTGTCCTCAGCTTTCTTCTAAAGCCTGTCATTTTTGACATATGATACAAACATAATGTTTTTTTAAATGGAAACCTTAGTTGGCCATGACTTCATAAAAAGCCCTATTTTTAAGCTTTTTAGTGATATAAGCTATAATATCTTTTCTTCGAAAAATTACTGAGTTATAGCCAATTCTTATCATTTTTAAACAAGTTCACTTTAGTTAGCCATGGAAACAAGTTCAATCGCCGCCGGCCTCCGCGCCGTTGCTCTCAGAAATATGAAGCTGTCACATCCAAACTTTGTCAATTAAAATTAACAACAATTGTAAATATGAATTTTTCACATGAAGAAAAGCGTACAGATACTCGCGCATCAATAGAGTGGTTCCAACACGACTTTCATTATGATTATTAGATTATGACACGCCACCCCCCACCCCCATAATGAAAGAAATGTTATGCAAACGCAGGGATAGGAAGAGGTGGACTAATTACGTGGGCCTCCTCGATCACCTGACCTATCCATTTTAGATTTTTTTATGCGGTATGGTTAACAATAAGGTTTACAAAAGAACTTATGAATTAAGAGAGGCACTCGAAGTGGCGGTACGAGAAAAGTTTAATTAAGTCGACCGGTCCTTCTGTGAGAATAGGTAGTAATTCAGTTTTAAAAAGATGCAACTCTCAAAGCAATGGCGGATTTTTTGAACATTTAACATGTCTTAAAAGTCGTTCTCTAAAAAACGCAACATGAAGCCATGAACGTTTCAAAAATCTGAAAGGCGCATATAGTTATGATCCCACAAAACTGCAATTTTTTCCCCATTTAACTGACTCTCTTATCGCCAGTAGTTTCCGAGATACCCATAGAGCACATTGTAGGAAACTCACCCTGTATATTAACATAGATATACAGGGTGTCCCAGTATTCCGTGGTTTTTTCTACTACGTATATTTGGAATCAAAATAAGTTCATTGGACACAATTTACCTATATACAAAAGTGCTTCGTTTGTCCGCTAGAGGACATCAAACTTTAAAAAAATTATCACATTTTTTCAGATATTTTAAGAACCGTTATTGCGATTTGAATGAGATTTTGGGTGTCTGTGTTTTGCTAAGTGCTCTAACATTTGACGTTTACAAAAATCAAGAAAATGTACTTTAAGGGTGAAAACTACTCCCACCCCTACTTTAATTTTAGTTTAAATAATATATTTTCCAACTCAACCGACGAACGATTTTTTTTTTCGTAAAATGGTCTAGTATTACTACATTTTTGTCTATTGTAAAAAACGTTACTGTGCATACTTTCTGAGAAATTTTTTTTCCAAAGCTGACTTCCAAAAAATGTTTTTTGTCACATCAAACTATGGAGGCGCAGAAACATAAAATCTATTATGCTCTAATAATCCATTTGGCGAAAATATGGAATAATGTTATATTTAACAATAAAGCTTCATAAAAAGCTTAATAATAATTTTTAAATTAATTAACATTCGGGTTTATTTTTGATTGGTGCTCTAACGGACAAACGAAGCACTTTTGTATAAAGGTAAATTATATTATGTGCAATTAACTCAACAAAAAAATATGTTATTCTAATGGTACGTACACATTGGTGCGTTGCGCCGCGAACGCAAGGCGCGCGCTCCAAGCGTTCGCCGCGCGTTGCTGTTTTTGTTTTAACGAACATCCCGCGATCCATAGAAATCCCATGAACATTCGTCTAGTCGTTAATCATGTCTCTATCGTCCGAGAAAAACTACGCAATTTTAATCATGAGTAGTGCGACTCTTTAAACACTCCATTAATAAACAATATTCAAAGAAAAACACAAAAAGGGAATTTATTCAAAGAAAATACACATAGTCACTGATAAATGCGCGCGGTGTCTTCACCGGCCGTCCCAACTGAACAACGAACACACAAAGCGGAGCGTCGAAAAACCGACATGAAACCGACCTGGAGATGGTTCGCCGCTAGCTGTTTGCGCATCTTGAAAACACGTACCAACACGTACTAACAGAGTTGAATAGGTGCGCGGGTGCCGCGCGTTCACGGCGCAGCGCGCCAATGTGTACGTACCAATGAATATGTTATACTTTAAAAAAATATGTTCCATGTCCACTCGAAAAATTGTTTTCTCAAAAACTATGTGATGTGGCGTTTTTTTTACAAGAGAGAAAAAATGTAGTAAATACTAGAGGGACCATTTTGCGAAAAGAAAATATGTCGTCGGTGGAGTTGGAAAATATTTATACTAAAATTTATGTAGGGGTGGGGTAGTTTTCACCCTTCCCGTACATTTTCTTGATTTTTGTAAAAGTCAAATGTTAATGCACTTAACAAAACATAGACGCCCAAAATCTCATTCAAATCGGAATAACGGTTCTTAAAATATCTGAAAAAATAAAATATGTGTTTATTTTTTTAAAGTTTGACGCTTTCTAGCGGACAAACGGGGCACTTTTGTATAGAGGTTAAATTATGGGCAAATAACTTATTTTGGTTCCAAAAATACGTAGTAATTCTATGTCGACGGAATATTGGGACACCCTGTATATAATTATCTATTTATTATCTTATATCTCTGGATCTTTTTCTTCAAAGCTCTAGCACGGCTCTAGGATGAAAGACATATCTATTGATATCAGTGATGATATGGCCGCGGTTCGGGTACCGCGTAAACAAAGTAGTCCTCGTGGGGTAAAGTAAGCCTTTAGCAGCTTTACTCAGACTCGGACAACGGACTCAAATCTGCTTAGGCGGATCCGGTTTCAGCATTGATATTCATCTTGCCGAGAGGAGTGTCCTATTTGCAGGCCGGATAGTCCTAGCAATGTCCTAGTATCTCAGGCTTTTAATTAGTTAAAAAATAATAATAAGACGAAGTTTACAAACTAACCTTAAATTTCAGTTTTGTAAACTCATCCTGAATAGCTTTTTTATAACATATTATAAACAACAAAAATGAGTTTAGCTGAAATTTGTGGAATGGAAGATTTCGGATCCTTTAAGTCCGAAAGAAGTTTAAACTATGATATTAATAATTTCTGCGGTAATTTCTCGAGTAACATCCAACTAGGAGTCCCACCATTTCAAAATGTAAGTTTTCATACTGATGTGTATATTATGCTGAAATACTGAATGAATATATTATGCTTATTTATAATATTGGTAATTTTGATGTATTTCTAGCCTGCTACAAGTTTATCAAACCTATCAAAAGATGATGCAGGTCGTGATATTAAAATTAATTTTGATCATGGTACCACAACTTTGGGTTTTATGTACCAAGGGGGTGTAGTTTTAGCTGTCGATTCACGTGCCACCGGAGGACAATTTATTGGGTCACAAACAATGAAGAAAATTGTAGAAATTAATAATTTCTTGTTAGGTAAGTATATCATTCATACAACATAGTGTCTTAGAAGCAGTATAAAAGATAACATATTATTATATCAAAAATTAAAGGCACTTTGGCTGGTGGAGCTGCAGACTGTGTTTACTGGGATCGTGTCCTTTCTAAACAATGCAGAATGTATGAACTCAGAAACAGGGAACGTATATCTGTTGCAGCTGCTTCAAAACTAATGTCAAACATGGTATACAATTACAAAGGCATGGGTCTTAGTATGGGAATGATGTTGGCTGGTTGGGACAAGAGGGTAATTAACTATATTCATATTTACATAACTTTTTATTAATATATTGTACTATCTGTAGGGACCCCAATTATACTATATAGATTCAGAAGGCACTCGTACGCCTGGCAAAGTTTTCAGTGTTGGTTCCGGATCAATTTATGCATTTGGTGTTTTGGACTCTGGTTATAGATGGGACTTGACTGATGAAGAGGCCTATGATTTGGGGCGTAGGTCTATCTATCATGCCACTCATCGTGATGCTTATTCAGGTAAATGATTCAGAATATTTCTAGGATGTAAAATATATTTTTCTTTAATTACAGGTGGTATTGTCAGAGTTTATCATATGAAGGAGACTGGATGGATCCATATTGATAATAATGATTGTCAAGATTTGCATTATAAATATCAAGCAGAAAAAGAAGATGCAGAGAATAAAGTTTAAATTATATGATTTGAAAATGTATTATTATAATTCATATTTGTAACTTAAGTTTTTTTGGTGTTGTCATTCTTTTTTAATAAAATATAATAGAATGTCCATAAAACTTTTTAAGAATTTAAGAATTTTTAATGTGAACTTATATTTTTATGTCTAATAAGATTTATTATTTAACTACTTAAAGAAAAAGTTAAGTAATTGAGGTGTATGTCAAATGTGTGATAAAAAAAGATCACATATGCTGATAGTTTAGTTTGAGGAATTCTATGTAATATTATACCAGGTTAGCATTTACATGTGTAGGAATGAAATCCGACCTTTTATTATTTTTATTTTTCAGTACATCTTATTGTACTAAACATATTTTCTGTACTATTTCTTCACACGAAAATCGACACCCGAAGTTGGTATTTGACGATCATATCCGCTATAATAGCCTTGTTTATACAGGGTGTTTCAAAAAACGTGTCATCTCTCGTGGGGAGTTCCTCCCGTAAACATAAGATTTATTTTTTATATCAACATTGGTCCGATTCTGCTTTGAATATTTTTTCGATTTATTGTAATTGTCTTCAAAGTACCGTATGATCGGAAAAAACGGCGTCCAGTTGGCTGGGAAATGACGATCAATGACTTCCCATATACATTTACACATAAAATGACAGCGATCTTCATTTTACAGTCATCGCTGACGCTGTTTTTTCTCGATCATACGGTACTTTCAGCGTTACGAATAAAAAAGGGAAAAGTTACTATAAATGCGACATATATTTTAAAGCTAAAAAAGTGTCGACATATATACCAAGAACGTGCATGTGGGGGTGCAAATATCACTGAAATATTTTTCTTGCAAAAGCGCCAAAAAAAAGCATTGCGCCACTGACTTTTTTTCTCTTGTTAGCGAAACAGTGTAACATGCGCGACCGCACATACGGCATTTGGCGATTTCCGAGCGCTCGTCTCTATGTTGTCGCTATCGAGCTCGGTGATGCCCGCATGTGTATACGGAAAGCCGAAGTCCATGTGCGGTCGCGGCATAAGCAGTATGCCGATTAAAAGTTGTCTTTTGATATTTTGTCAATTTCGGCCTCCTTGATAAGATAAACGCAATTTTATTAATTTGCCTTGATCCAAGTCTAATAGCAACATTCAAAAAATGGTAATATTATACTTGTGAAAGTTTTAAATGTGAACTTATATGTTTATGTCTAATAAGATTTATTATTTAACTACTTAAAGAAAAAGGTAAGTAATTGAGGTGTATGTCAAATGTGTGATAAAAAAAGATCTCATCAAGGAGGTCGAATTCGATAGAATATCAAGAGATGACTTTTAATTGGCTTTAAACGGTCTACACAATTTTGATATCAAAAGAAAAGAAGTCAGTATTAGCGCACATATTTTTTTTTGAAATATATTCCAATATGATAACATAACAAGAACACAAGAACATAACCCATATGCACGTCCCTGATGACGACACTTTTTTAGCACTTTTTAGAATTAAAATATATAACACTAATAGTAACTTTTACCCTCAAAATTTCATTCGAAACGCTAACATTTCTAAACACTAAAAAAAATTATAATGAATCGAAAAATTATTAAAATTTTAACACCCTGTAGCTACGAAACAAAGCAGAATCGGATCTATGTCGATATGAAAAATAAATCTTTTTTTTACGTGAGGGAATCTCCCCGCGAGAGATGGCACATGTTTTCTGAAACACCCTCTATATTCTTATAGAAGCGATATCCTTATTTTTTTTGTAAACACAATTGTATAAGCATCAGGGTCCAGAGGGTGGTACTTAATTCCTATTTGCCCAAAAAATGTCAAAAGCAATTCTTCCAATACTTTGTATAGAAAAATTTGTATAAATATGTTGTCTCAAAGGGTTCCGTTACAAAAATAATTCCTTTTTTGCCTCCCTTAATTACATTTAAATTCTATTTTTAAAATGAGGAGATTTTATCCCTATTATAACATGTGCAATTTACAATTTTTTTCTTGGAATAAAAAATGAAGCTTGGGTTATTATATACCAAAAAGGCCCTGACACTTTTTTCGTAAAGCCCCAGGAAAACGGTTAAAACCGATACACTAAAGGGCCAAAGAACGGGTTTTCCGCCAATATTGGCCGAAATATGGCATGTAGATGATTTTCATGATCGCCAAATGTAAGATTGGGTCCTTAGCTAAATAATGGTCCTCGCACTTTTTTCCGTAAAGATGTAAAAAAGAAACCAATTCGACTATTCGTAATTATGCAATTTTCTTTTGTTTACGAGACTTTCCGGAAATCCCAAAAAAGCCACTCACGAATAGTTGTTTTTTTTATTAAAATATGTGATTAAACAAATACTTCAAACTTTCCGAGTTGCTTAAAGAAAAAATACAAACAAATACAAACAAATACAAATACAAATAAAATATAAACACATACTTATAGTTATTAAATACATGAAATCTATCTTCGGAGTGTATTAAGTCTAGAAAAGAAAATTCAGGGATCTTCGAGGCGGCACATCTCGAAAACTATATACCTACTAATTCTACGTAAAAAATGATGAGGACCATTTTTGCAGAAAATTACATAATAATATTCATTTATTCGAAGAAAATTGTAAATTGCATATTTTGGCAGATATTTGCGAAAAACTGATTTTGGGCCATTTAAATTCTATTTTTAAAATGAAGCATTTTAATCCCTATATTAACATAACTGTTTCATCAAAATAAATTTTTCGTCGACTGATACAATTAAAACTGGAGCATCATGTATATCGGAAAAGCGTTAAACAAACAAGTAATAAAATAATTTTTTGCCGGTGCGTGGCTTTGGCGCATGTGTAACAAGTGGAAATAAAATGGAAAACAGCATCGGAAAATTATTTGTTGCCGTCGGGACGCTTCAAATAGTGCCATAAAAGCATCTGCGTCCACGTTATCTAAATTAAATTGCCGTGAAACCACCTTCAATTTATTCACTTTCGTTCTTGGGAGTGGACTAGCATGTTCAAGCGATCGATAGTATCAATATCCTGGAGGAAATAACATTTTTTTGTGAATTGGTAAGTTAATTTGTTATTTATTATTTATTGCAATATAGCTTCATCAGTAATACGTTTTAATAAAAAAAAAATAATACCCGAATTAATACCATAATTAGATAAAGAAGAATGTATATACCGGGTGCGTCTCAAAAAGTGGCTCACCCCCTATAACTTTTTTATTCTTTCAGATAAAAACCGAGATTTGGTATGTTAGTATATGACTTAAATTAGGATTGATTGACGTATTCAATTGTTTTGGTCACTTCCTCTGTTTCATCGGAAATTACTACAACTTTTGATTTTTAAATGACACCCTCGGTATTTTTTTACTTTATTCGATAGAAAATGACTCTTTGAATAGAATGACATATCATATGTCAACTTTTGATATTTAGGCTTAAAACAAAATTGTATTTTAAATGTCAATCTAGAGTGCCATAGTTGTGATAAAAACACTAATTTTTAATCAAAAGGAGTCTTGGAAAAATAGATCTGATCGTCTAATGTTTTGTCCTGGTCGGTTAAAAAATGCCCAAATCATATCTCAATTTTTTCAAACGGAACGAGGGTGGCTTATTGGTATATTTGGAAAAGACATTTTTTTACGAATAATTTGATACCACACACTTAATACCAATTGGTATTTCGAGTCAAATTGTCGTTATGAACAGCATGTTGCAATATCAAATAAACCATATTCGAAAATGTCAAAAGTTGACATATGATATGTTATTCTATTCAGTGTCATTTTCTATCGAATAAAGTAAGAAAATACCGAGGGTGCCCAAGGTTATTAAATTAATAAAAAGTTCTAGTCATTTCCGGTGAAACAGGAAGTGACCGAAAACAATTGAATACGCCAATAAATCCTAATTTATGTCATATACTACGGTATACCGGGTGCGTCTCAAAAGTGGCTGACCCCCTATAACTTTTTTATTTTTTCAGATAAAGAAACGAAATTTGGTATGTTAGTATATGACATAATTTAGAATTAACTGACGTATTCAATTGTTTTCTGTCACTTCCTGTCTCACCGGAAATGACTACAACTTTTGACTTTTAAATGGCACCCTTGTGTATTTTTTTACTTTCTTTGATAGAAAATGACATTTTGAATATAATGCCATATCATATGTCAACTTTTGACATTCTCGCTTAATAAAAAATTGTATTTTAATATTCAATCTAGAGTGCCATGTCTATGTTAAAAGGACTAATTTTTAATCAAGAAGCCTTGGAAAAATAGATTTGATCGTCTAATGAGTTTAGTATCTTGTCTGAGCCGGTTAAAAGATACCAAAATCGTATTTTTAATAATATCTTAATTTTTTCAAATGGAACGAGGGTTGCTCATTAGCATATTTGGAAAAGGCATCTTTTTACGAATAATTTGATACCACACACTTGGTATTTTGACTCAAATTGTCGTTATGAACCATATGTTAAAATTTCAAATAAACCATATTCAAAAATGTCAAAAGTTGACATATGATATGTCATTCTATTCAGGATGTCATTTTCTATCGAATAAAGGAAAAAAATAGTGAGGGTGCCATTTAAAAATCAAAAGTTGTAGTCATTTCCGGTGAAACAGGAAGTGGAACGAAAACAATTGAATACGTCAATCAATCCTAATTTTTGTCGTTTACTAACATACCAAATCTCGTTTTTTTAACCGAAAAAGTAAAAAAGTTATAGGGGTGAGCCACATTTGAGACGCACATGGACAATATAAATCTTAAAAAAGACGTTTTTAGTGCGTACTTTATATTATTTGAACAATATATTTTTTGTTCGCATTGAGGCGGGTTATGAAGATGATCGAATTACCGTGTGTAATTTTGAAAATTTACTTTACCATTCCAAGCATCTTTTTTCATACGAATACTTAAATAAATCGCCATCTTATACCACTTTTAAAAAATATGAGTTTATTTCGATTTACAGAAATATGTGAAGTGCTTCTTATTTTCCGAAAATGTCATCTGAAGAAAACATCAGTAAATCCCAAGATGCTCCCAAAGACAAACCCAAAGCCATA